AATATTAGTATTATTAGTATTTGTAGTGTGATGGCTTTGACCGAAATAAGCATGATAGCATTTGTTTGTTGTAAATGAAAATTATTTATTTATGTTTTACATAATATGGCCTAAAATGACAACAAAACTAATATTTAATTACACGTACAAAATGACGTTATTTATATTTTTAATTAATTATAATTTAATTAAATAGTAGAAAATGTTTTCCGTTGTAAATATAATGAGTGTTTAAAATAAAAATTAATTTAAATAACAATTAATATAAAATTATAATTTGTATTCATTTGTTACAAACCCGTGGTTAACAACAAAATTAATAACTACAACAACAAGGTAACTTAAAATGTACAATAAATTAAACCACGATCAAATAACTTGCCAATAACTACCACTCACTCACACTTTTCATACACCACCAGATAGGACGACATGAACATGGTCAGCAATTCAAACCACATGAAAAATGCCCAGTACACATTGCCATTACCATCGCGGTAATAGCCATGGCTATGAAGTGCCGCCAAACCGGCCGACAAATTCCTGATGATCAACGACAGGGATGCAATGCCGGCGTAAACCACCAAGGCCACCCAGTCCACCCTGACTATGGCGTATATGCCCAGCGAGGCGTAGCACAGAAATAATAGCGAAAGTTGAGCAAGGTGACCGGCCACGAATGAGCCGGAGTCGACAAATTTGTCGCTAAAATCAAACATGCCGTATATAAATGAGAATACGGCGGCCACTATTATTACCACGTTTAGTCCGATGAACGTGAATTTTAGGTGTAGCAAACTTTTTGTGTTCATCGTGATGAATTTAGTGATAATATTAATAATGTTGGTTTGCTTTGTTTTTTGATTAGTGTTTATTAAATGTAGATTTTTAATTAGTTTTATGTAGTTAATGCAATTGACACTTTTGAATTATTATGGTAATTTAAAATTTACACAATTAATAGTATATGTAAATATTATTTTATTTATAATTTTACTAATTATTACTGTTGTTATACTTATTAAACACTTTTCACTAAACACCTGATAATTATTACGCAAAATTCAATAATATTTTAGGAAGTGTTTTGTTGTTTATTATTATAACAATTAAAACAATTAATAACAGGATTTATATAGAAATTTATTTTTATTGAACATTTTGTATTTCTATTACTTTCGTTAATAATAGCCGTTATTATGAATACAATATTTGCTACAAAGAAATGTAATACAAATACAACATGTTATCGCCTATTGTTTTCTGTGAGGGATTTCATAATAATAAATATCAAATATTGATAATCAGGGTTATAATGATAATGTATTTGGTGTTTTTTGTATTTAATTTTCCCATTTAAGTAGCGATAACAACCTTTAATCGTATTTTTTAATAGAAAAATATAATTAAGATACTTTAATCAATATAATTGTTTGTTTTATTAAATACATTTTGGTGTTTATAGTTATACAATACAATCAAGTATAGTAGTAACTTTTGTACACCCAGCCATTGTTTTATATTTATATATAGTATATAATATATACTGTACTATTTATTTTATTTTACTAACCAAAATTAAATAAAAGTGCAGATAAATGTTTTCCATTATATAAATATATTAGTTACATTTGCTAACTTATATATTAAAAACAAACAAGTTTACAGTTTTAGAAGTTAGACTAATTGCTACAATATGTGCTATTTATGAAGTATATATTGTATGTAAATTTATATAATTTATTTTATTAATTGTTTAACTCAAATTTGTTTTGAATATATTTATTTGTTAATTATTTAATTATAAAATGTTTGTGTTAAATTAGTGCACCCTGCCCTAGGTTGTTATCATAAATAAACATTATCAGAATTTATTGTACTAAATATACAATAAACATAAGATATAACGCTATAATTCAGATTGTATTATAATTAATTACATCATAATAAATACTATTTAAACACCAAACAAATAATTAAAAACATACAAATATTAATGAGTTGTTAAATAATTCATTACAATCCAGTATTTAAAAAATAATGGTAATAAATTCTAACTTTTATATTATATTATACTTTGCTATTTTGTAATAATCTATTTTTAGTTTAATACCTACTGTGTGAACATGATTTTGTGATTATAATGCAGATATGACATAATAATTTATATATATGGTACATTTTAATTATCAATGTACATTAATTAAAAGCTATAAATATTGATAATATAATTCTCTTAAATCTCAAACTAAACAATTGAACAGGATCTAACAACTACTGCATATACAGCAGCTAGAGATATTACAATATAAAATTGAATTAAATAGATTGTAAATAATTTACTGAACTAAAATTTATTGCTAGATTATATTGTGTATAATTTTACACATATTTTTAGCTATCGCACATAACATTTAACTTAAATTTATGTAAATTGTATAATTATTAATTATCATATAAGAATTTAAAACTATGAATTATATCTAGATACTATGTTAAAACACCAAAATAAAATATAACAAATTATTTGATGTGAACGTCCGTATGCCAAGTATTTATTAAATATTTTACATTATAAAGTTGAACATTTCATTTAAGCAAGTTTACAATTAATAAAATTATTAATTAAAATATTTCTACATGCAATTATTTATTTAAAGTTACAACCTATAAATGTAAAACAATTAAAAGTATACATTATTTTTATTCCTATTATATTTATATATTATCTAATTTTTTATAAAGTAAATAACATTTAATAAAATAACCTTAAACAATTATTATATTATTAAGAAAATATATCCTAGATAAATATTAAGTGACAATTAATATGTGGATAAGTTTTAAAAACAGGATTCAAACTAATTAAGCAACTCAATAACAAAATGACTGAATTTATTGGCACAACTGGCATAACCTTTAGCGTAGGGGTGAGTGTGCCTGATAACTAGCTAGTTAATTAATTTTAGGTTGACATATTTATCTATAAATAAATATAAAAACTGAGAAAACACTCTTAAATTTATCATGAATTTGAGCAACATTTAAGGGTAAATTCCACGTAAAAATAAATTTTAATTATAAACACCTTAATAAATATAATACTCATTATTCATAAAATAAAATGAAATAATTTTACATCATTTAAGTCTATACCCAATAATTTTATTTTGACAATTAAGTTAAGAAGTTATTTTATTAAATATACATTATGACAGTCAGTATACCAGCATAGATTTTTAAAATTTAATGATACTTGATCATATAGTTAAACAATTAACTTATTATTTCATTAAATCAATTAAGATATGAATATTAAAAAATCATTTTAGTTTAATTAATACCTAAATCAATTTTCGATTTGATAAATTAGTTTAAATTAAGAAGTTTATTATTTATTAATTCTTTGTACACTATATTAATTGGTTTATTCACTTTTAAAGTAGATTAAATTATACTGGCTAATTTATTCTGTTGACTATTATTAAATGTTAAATTTATATAGAATAATAAAAATTAGTATTTCGGTGACACTTCCTTAACCCAATAATTATAGTTTAAATAAAAGTATCATAATTAATGTGTATAAATACCTAATTTACAGTCTTCCCAATATATATGTTAAGCACAAGTTTACAGCATATTTATTCATAAAATGTGTTATTTATCAGAATATAATACTTTACTATTACAGCGTTATGATATTTAACTCCATAAATTATTTGTTTATATTTGTTTTATTATTTTTAACACTAGCGTTTTGATTATTGTAATAAATATTAGTGATAAGTATGAAATCTGATCATGTGTGAATTGGATTTTAAATGCCCATTTAATACAATATATCACAAGTGATTTTTGTATTAATGTTACATTTATTAAAGAAAAGTACTAATCGTGGTTGTATAAACAAAAGCATTGTAATGAATCATTAAATTGCAATTTTAACTTAAATAACAAATTGATATATACTTATTTATTTAAATATAAATAAAGCTCGTTTTAAAACACTTTGGTTAGTATTACATTTACTAATAAAATATACAAGTTATATTTATGCTTTTTAAATTCAAATTCACAAAAATATTATATGTGTATAAAAGTATGAACAATATTTACAAAACACAGTAATATTATAGTATGTATATATTATACGGGCACTAATTACCCTATTATTTAACAACATAAAGTCAATTAAATATCTTTACTATGATTTATACAAATCTAATTAGTATAGTTAAATAAATTACAAAACAATATAACCAATTGCTCTAAAATAAGTGCCCAGGGAACGGGGAACATTTCACTTTCGCAGTAAGCTACCACGGGGCAAATATTTACCTATGCATATAAAACATGATGGCCGACGTGACAATGATGGTCAATTCGAGGGCCACGTAGGCGTAGTTCCACGACTTGAGCGAGTAGTGATGCATAGCGGCCAACGCCCACAATAACAACCGGGTAATCAGCGACACAGCTGCTATGATCGAGTAAATGAGTATGGCCACTTTGTCACGTTTGAACGCGCCGTACAAACCCATACAACCGTACACAATAAATAGCAACGACATCGAGGCCAATTGGCCGCCAATAAATGAGCCGCTATAGTAGAATCGGTCCTCGAAATTGATGTTGCCCAGTATGAAACAAATGATGCCGGCTATTATTATGATCAGGTTGAGTCCGATGAATATGTAGCGGCATATTGATTTGATTGCCATTTTTAGCTGTCAAATAAAGTTTACTTTATTAGTAATGTTTGTTAATATTCCTGTTGGGAATATTTATCGGGAACGTTTTTTTTTATTATGAATTATTGCACAACGCTATCCAAACAATGAGTTTTTATGGCTATTTGCATAACTATTGTGTAATTACTGTATATTACAACAAAAAACTACTGAATGGTGTGATTATTTTGTAAACACTATTTGTTAAACTATTTTTATTATTATAAATTATATTATGATTGTTACAATTAAATCAAATTTTATTAGATTAACATAATAGAATCACGATGAATCAATTAAACACAATGACTACAATATATACACAAATAATACTCAATTT